ATGTACACGGGACACGTCTGAACGATGGAAACTGACTGCTGGAAAACGTTGGTTAAAAAACGTCAGTTTAGCCACGTTTGCACACCGCATTTATGCGCGTTTGTGTTTAGAAGCGTTTTTTTTTTTTTTTAAGATAACCTCAGGAGACCTTCCAAAATGCCCAGAATGCACCGAAAAACTGTAAAAAATTAACTATTTCAGACATTTTTAGAGGAATAGAGAGAGCAGAAGCAGAGAGAGCAGTATGTGTGGAGATGACCTGTCTTTTCTGGTTGTATTCACTATGGATCCCATCATGAGCATAATGCGGCACGTTCTACCATTTTTTCCTTCACGCAAAACCTGGAACTGACTGCGCTGGTGTACCGGGTCCATTTGAATACATGGAAAATGCTTTGCATGCATTTCTGATGATGAAATAAGGCTCTGGACAGCATCTGGATAGGGAACAGTTAAAAAATGCTTCTAAACGCAAACGCTTATATACGCGGTTAGCCGCGTTTACATGCACTTAGAAGCATTTGGCGTTTGAAACGCTGATAAAATCTACTGAACACAAGTTTGGTGCGTTCAAAAAAAACGACTGTAAACTCAACTGCCTGTAAACAACATAGTGTACATGGACACATAGGAAAACATTAGGGAGAGTTCAGGGGCTGCTGAAAAAAAACACAGAAAAGCTCCTGAACGTCAGTTTATCAGTCGCAGTGTAGATGAACCCTTAAGGCTTGCATACAATGAATAAAAAATTGCTGTGCCGTATGTGCATTAGTGCAATGCTGTTCATTTTGAATGGAATCCCAACGCATATAAGGACTGCACCTCGGACCTATGTTGCAATGCACCACAATGAACAGTAATGCACTACCATGAGCTGTGCCAGAAAAAATAGTGCATGTGCCCTTTCTGGTCCTTTGTCAGTCCATTTGTTTGACCGGTAATGTACTGGACTGGAAAGGTCTGAATGGGGCCTGAACTGATTTTAACTGTATAAACTGTATAAAACACATGCATTTATTATCATTATCTTTGATTGTTAAAGTGATTCTAAATGTATTTTTAAAAATAACAAACATGTTATTTAAACATATTACTTACCTGCTCTGTGCAGTGGATCCTCCTCTTCTCAGATCCCTCTCCGGTGCTCCTCGGCTCCTCCCCTATGCCAAGTGCCCCTCCTAGATTGTAAGCTCGAAAGAGCAGGGCCCTCAATTCCCTCATGTTTTGCATTGTATTGGTATTGTTCTGTCACATGTTCTGTCCCCCTTTGTAATGTACAGCGTTGAGCGAACTATTGGCGCTTTATAAATACTGTATAAAAATAGCAAGGGAGTATGCCCTGGCCCCCGCTCCCTCCTCACAGGCTGTGATTGCAAAGTGTAGTACCCTTCAAGGCAGCACTTCCTTGCATCTGGTCTAGGCCGGGCCCGCTCCCTCCTGGGATTGCTATATCACACCTATCCCAGGAGGCAGTGTGTTACCAAGAATGCATATGATAGATTCATCACATGCACAGACTTGCTGCTGCCCTTGGCATGCGCAGGGGGTATTTTTACACATGTGCACATATGACATGGGCAACTACAGTGCCCACATACCAGAAACTGGAACCATTTGTGCAGATGTGCTGCAGGGCTCTGCCAAGTCCCAAATACCTGTCAGAGCCCTGTGGCACATCTGCACAGATGCCAGTTTTTTTAAGATGGGCACAGAGGAGGGGTGGGGGGAAGGGATTGTTGTGGTAGTGAAGTTCCATTTTAAGGAGGGGGCTGAAAAGTTCTATTTATCATAATTAACCTCATCTGTACTGTGCTGGCAGATCTCATTATCTATTTAGTGTTGATCCTTTCTGCTTACTCCTTTCATCTGCCATCTGCATGAGTCACTCCTGACAGTCTATCCAGATACCAAGCAATCCTGGGAAATGAACACACCCCCCTTCAGCGCATAGCAGGTGACTAACAGCCTCAGTTGTGCATGACTCCCTATGGGACTGTGTAGAGGGGAATGTGTCTTTTCCCTCCACTCAGAATTACACTCAGCTACCTGCTCTGTGCTGTACAGTGTGCGACATCAGATCCCTGCCCCCTGCCTCCTAAAGCTCTGAAATGCTGTGTAAATTCTGTACTTTGAATAGCTGTAGAGAAGAGAGGGCTGCAGATAAACAGGTACAACCTATATAGGAGGATTTGTTTCATTTCTGTGTATCATCTGAGGCCAGTCACTTCAGTGGGTATATCTAAGGGTTTATTAACACTTTAGCAGAAGAGATTAGCCAACCTAATTCCCAGCACTTGCTATCCTGAGATGATTCAATGGGGTTGATTTACTAAAACTGGAGAGTGGTTGTAAATCTCAGACATGAAATATGAACAAAATATATCCCTCTATAGTGTGTACTTGTCTCAATTAAGAGCGCTAATGGGGCAGACTTACTACAACTGAAGAACTCAGAATCTGGTGCAGCTGTGCATGGTGGCCAATCAGCTTCTAACTTCAGCTTGTTCAATGAAGATTTGGCAATAAAACCTGAAAGCCGATTGGCTTCTATGCAGAGAAGCACCAGATTTTGCACTCTCCAGTTTAAATAAATAACCCCATGAGTTCCTGGGCTCACAGGAGGATAAGGAGAGACCCAGAACTATCAGATTAGTAGCCAGGGATGGAGTGTCACTCTAACGCTATGAAAAACCGTTTGGGCGACTTTCCATTCACCTGAAACATGTCTACACCAAATAGAATTGCCGGCCATTACATTTTAAAACACACTCAGGTTCGCTGTTCTTGCTGAAAGCCTTTGACTACCCAAACATGCAGTGTTATTTATGGCAGTGGCAGTAAAAGGGTTAAGGTTGTATGTTTAGGAGAGTCCAGCTCATAAGCAGGTCAAATGCAACCAAGAGAAAGCTTTCTTTTAGGTGATTTCAGGGTAAAATGGATTGTTTTGAGATGCATTCACCATGTGTTCCCATCGTAATCCCATTGACTTCTAGGCAGTTTAAACAAGAGAGCATGTTCAGGACATGCTGCATTTAACAAAAACACAATGCAATGTACTGAAAAACAACAATAAATAGAAGAAACTTTACAATTTAAATTAAAAAAGAACAAGCACTTCATACATTTTCATGAGCATTTCAGCAGCAAAACGGCCATGTAAACCAAACCCTAAACCTCTGACGTTTTGTCACTGGGTCAGACATGTTGAGGGATCTTCCGAATGGAGACACACCAATAGGAACCAAACTATGATACTAAATCGTTCTTCTAGTTTTCCTGACCTTGGAAATAAAGAGCATTCATAGCCTATTGTTTTTTTTTCTTTTGTTACTTTCAGATGGAGTAGGGTTGGGTTAAAACCCATCAGTGTATTTTTGGGGTTTTTTTGTGTACCATTGTGGAAATGTCCATATACTTCCTGTCTTGGGGACACAACAAGAAATTAGAGGAAATTTCCAAAGTGAGGGAATGTGAATTCCAGACCAGAAATGAATTCCTGTCTTGTTCTGGGAACAACTCTAAAATTTGGGGTTTCCTATCACCTTTTTTTTTTTATTGACAACAGTCATCAAGACAAGCTGAGTGATGAATTTCCCCAGTGGGGATACAGAGAGAAATACAAATTTGACAGAGGGTCTGACTCTTCCCCACTCCGTCTAAAATCTCCTAAAGGAAGACATTAAGGCTAGGTTCACATCTGTGCGGGTGGTGCCGCTGCGGATCCCCATGAAAATCCGTGCACCACCCGCACAGAGAAATGCGGACCCGCGGGCGGGTGCCATTAATTCTAATGGCATGCCGCCCACATTGGAGAACGCAACCATACTAGGAACTGAGGATCCTGTGCGGGCTGCGTTTTCAGAAGAAGTGCACGGACTTCTTTGCATGTCACTGGGCACAGGAGACCATTCAAAAGAATGAGCTCTCGTGCCCGCACAAAACGCGGCCTGCACGGCCACATATATGTGAACCGGGGGTTAAAGCTCTGGTCAGATATAAATTACAGAAATAATGCAGCCCTGTATTTATTAATACATAATTAATTGTATATTTGTAAGCACCTGAAGGCGATCCCCTGTACAGCAGAGCCCGGAGCGGGAGAGGGAGTGGCAGGACTGGGTACCAATGAGGTGTGCTGCATCCAAATTTGCTGACAAGGAACATAATGATATAAGGAGAAAGCACAGTGAGCAGGGAGATGAGCTAATCTATCACCTGCTTCTCCTTTCATTGTCCAGTCACAGGCTGCGGGAAGGACAAGAGCTGTAAGTGTTAGGCCCCTTTCACGCAGTGGTTCCGATCACGTCTGCCTGTCAGTTTTTCAGGCGGACTGGAAGGTCTATTCAGCCCTATGGGCAGGCAGGTGTATACGGGCTTGGGTCTGTTTACACCCGCCTGCTTCCAGGTCTGATCCGGTCTGCCAAAAAAAGAATATCCATCCCTTTCCATTTAGGTGGTCAGGGGGTAGTTGGATGTAAAAGGATAGAAGAGTCTGTTTACACCCGGATGCCCATTGACCAGGACTAGCTTTGTCTGTGTCCGCTCTGCAGAAACTGTGGACACAGGTGTGACATCTGTGAGTGGATCCCCTGCTAATGGGAATGAAATCTGCCCCATGTGAAAGAGGCCTTGACTGCAAAAGAGAAAAAGTATGTGTTTGCCCTGGCAGACAGGACTTTACTCTTTGACAGAGCAGTGTAATTCTCATGACTTGATGGACAGAAACAATAGTGAACTCACATCATTTGTCAAATAAAACAGACCCCATATATGTATTTTATCTGTGTGTTTACCTGGGGTTTAGCTTCAAATATATCAAACATTGCGATTTTTGTGATTTAAATAAAATAATGAGATATAAAAAAAAATCAGTTTTTGTCTTACAAAATCTGCAGATGTGTATAATCAACCAAGGGGGAAGTGGGGCTGAACAAATATACAACACCTGTGTAGAGCTATGATTCCTACATAATCATTTTTCTTTTTTTTTTTCTCTTTAGAATAAGTCGTCTTTTTAATGGTACAGAACCCATCGTGTTGGACAGTTTAAAACAGCACTACTTCATTGATCGGGACGGGGAGATTTTCCGCTATATCTTAAGTTTTCTACGGACCTCTAAGCTGCTGCTTCCAGAAGATTTTAAGGTAACAGGAACCAGTATTTCGCACAGACATACCAGGAGCAAAAATACTTTCATTACTCTGTATGTGCTTCTTTTTTACATGACATGCTAAATATTTTATAATATAGTGAAAGCATGCTTGGTTCTTGTTATACAAATACCAAAAAAAAGTTTTAAAGTGGTTGTAAACCTCAGACATGAAATATGAACAAATCTTATCTCTCCATAGTGTGTACTTGCCCCAATCCAGAGCACCAAGTGTCATTTCTCTCTGCTGCCTCCTTCCTTTGCTGTCAGCATGAGTCACTTCTGACAAGGCAAGAGAAGAAAGGTGATGGTAGGGATCTCCAGCATACAGCCTGTGGTTGACAGCCATAGCTATATCCTGTGTGCTGTATGAAAGGGGGTGTGTCCCTTCCCTCCAATCAGCTCTCTGAGCTCTGTTCACTGAGCTCTGCAGAGTGTGACTTCAGCTCTCCATCCCTTTTATTCTGAAATCTCAGACAAGCTTTATAAATTCTGGTGTTTAAACAGATGTAGAGAAGAAAAAGTTTGAAGATAAATGGGTTCAACCTATGGTTTTGTATCTCTCTGTATCACCTGAGGCCAGTCACTTCACTGGGTATATGTAAGGGTTTACAACCACTTTAGGCCCTGAAAATCTTTGGTTGGTATTTGAATTTTACTGCTAAAGGTGTTTGACTTATAAGATAAGTGGTATCCACTTCCCACTGAATGCAAACATGTACTTATGGCAAAGCCACCAATTGCTCATGGGATGCTCTGTACTGTCCAAACTTTGAGTCTGGAAAGCTCTCCGCCCTCTCACACCTCCCAATGGGCAGCCAATGGTGTGATTTTCTGTTACTTCTTGAAGTGAAGATTTGCATCCTTGAGCCTCCAGATTTTTGAGACTCACAGGCACTTGTATAGGAATGCTATGTGGAGCAGCTCACAGCAACTACTGCAAGCTTGCCACATGATGAAAAAATGGAAAATTGTATACTTACCTTTCTGTAATTTTCCTTTCCTGGTGCATTTTCATGGCAGCATACAATGGGTTGTGGCTCCGCCCCCACTGTATGTTGAAATGATGCAACAGGAAAACAGAAATATGTATACTTACCTTTCCATAATTTTCCTTTCCTGGTGCATCTTCATGGCAGCGTACGATGGGGGCGGAGCCACAACCCATCATATGCTGCCATGATGCGCCAGGAACATTGTTTCTGATTTCAGTTCTTACACTCAAAGTTGCATTATGAAATAAATCATCGTAGCTTACTGAATGGCCAGAAATTTGAGGTCACCTCACCATCACGCCAAAATGATGTGGACAGTATTCCAAACAATTGCATGTTTCCAATGAAGGGTACTGTGAATACTACAACATCCAATTTTGAAAAATTGTGCCCTTTCAACCTTGTGAGCAGTGATGGGCTAAGACACCTGATTTTTTTTTGTTCATCCCATTGAAGTCTAAAGGGAGGGGGGCAAATCGTGCTGTTACATATTGGCAATTTGTTTCCAAAAAATGTAATGGGGAGCTGGGCGCTTAACAAAGAAATAAAATGTTTTAAAAATTACCATACAGCAGGGAGAGGGCCCTTTTGTTTCGGCTTCAAGGGTGAGATAGAAAATGCACCAATCCTTCAAATAGCACTCTCTGGAGATGTCTTTATTATGTATGTGGTATTACAGAACAGTACAATTTTCACAATGTCAGCAACACTGTATTCTGGTGTCACATCTTTTGGATTTGTAAATGAGTAGCAGTTACAACAGACCTAAAAGCTTTAGGAAGGTGTCCTCATAAAAAATAAAGCTAAAGCCCTCAACTTCACGCAAATTGGTGAGTAGCAAAAACCATTTAATAATATAGTTTGTGAGATTTTTTTCCACAGTGCACACTGCATTGTCTTAAAGTTTAAAAAAATCAAAACAATTGCACAAAACCACAGTTCCATATTACTTGAAACCCTTCCCATTCCTGTATTCCTAAAATATTAAAAATATAGGCTTTAGGAATTGTAAAACTTCACCTGCATCAGGACAATATGCAAGTGCTTAAAGCTGAACTCCACTACAGTGATCGCCACAGTCATTTAGGTCCTGCGTCAAGCAGATGTGCTGCCTAGTGAACATGGGAACTCTCACTCAGCACGGCCATCATTTACAGAACATCTTGTACTATTTTCAATGAATACAAGGTATTTTCTGATTGGATGAGGTGGAGATTGTGACATCACCGCCCCCCCCCTCCAACTCCTTTATTAAGAGAATGCTTTGCAATATGCAGTAATTTAGCGCAATTTAGAACAATTTACTCACTGGCCACTTTATTAGGTCCACCTGTTCAATTGCTTGGCAACACAAATTGCTAATTAGCCAATCACATGGCAGCAACTCAATGCATTACGGCATGCAGACGTGGTGAAGATGACATGCTGAAGTTCAAACTGAGCATCAGAATGGGGAAGAAAGGGGATTTAAGTGGCTTTGAACATGGCATGGTTATTGGTGTGAGACGGGCTGGTCTGAGTATTTCTACTGGGATTTTTACACACTACCATCTCTAGGATTTGCAGAGAATGGTCCGAAAAAAAAGAGCAAATATCCAGTGACTGGCAGTTGTGTTGATGTCAGAGGTCAGAGGAGAATGGGCAGACTGGTTCAAGTTGATAGAAAGACAACAGTAACTCAATATAGACCAAAATCTCTGACAGCTTGTTGAATCTATGCCATGAAGAATTAAGGTAGTCCTTAATGTAAAAGGGGGTCCAACCTGGTATAGCAAAGTGTACCTAATAAACTGGCCTAATTTTGATAATGCTGGTAACATAAGCTGTGTAAAGTCACATTAAAATCGTAAGTTTTTTCCGCTTTTTTTGTGTTTTTGAATTGGCATTTAGCGGCGTTTTTCCATGTTTGCGTTCTTTAACTTTTTTTGATCGAGAAACAAATTAGCGGCGTTTTTACCGTGTTTTGCTGCATTTTTAGGGGTTAGAGTGTTTTTACAGCTAAAAAACTCCTCTAGAAACCCACTAGTCCTGGGTTTTTTTTTTTCCAGGCAAAAGACATCTCAGCCACAAAACGTTGATTACAGTCTAGGTGTGCATGGACACATAGAATAACATGCTGGGGGGTTTACTAGCTGTAGAAAATGTCAAAAGCCAAAAACAGCCGCTGTAAAAAACATCCCGTGTGCATGAGGACTAACTGTTAAAGCTCTGATTGACTAAAGACTAGTCTAGTACTGTGAATGTCCAGGACTCGCCATTCTGTTGAACAGAAGAGTCTGGATTACAAAATTGACTAAACAAATGTTGGTATAAAGTATATAGCAAAGTTAGTTTAAAATTAGATAGTAAGAACTCTCTGCAAGAGTAGGATGCGTAATTGTATTTTAAAGATAAATATAGTGTTTGTGTTTTTTTTTCTAATTAGCAAACACCTAGGAGAGTGTAAAACACAGGCAAATTTCTCCCCAATTCCTGAGCCATGTCTTATGCGAAAGCAGTCATTGCGACCGCCTCGTGAATATTTATCAGTTTTCACCTTAGTTTAATCAAATGGAATAAGACGCCTTCGGGTGAAATTGTGTTTGGTGTCGTTGATGCACTTGTGAAAGTTGTTAAAAGTTTTAGAATATTTAGTGTGGAACAATTTGAGGCCCCTGTTAATTTCTGCCAGCCTCACACAAAGGTGACAGGGGTGAGGGGCACACAGGAGGGGGTCTGTCTATACGTCTTACAGTATGGGTGCGAAATTGTTGGAAGTATATGAGATAAGGTGTCATACTCTTAAACTTCCAGGCCTTGGAGGATGGGAACCTATGTATTCCTGGGACTTTCATTTGCATTATTTCCTAATTGTTTATGCACCTTGTATCCCTTGAATCATATGTGATAGGGTAATAATGTGATGCAGGAACTTGATGGCTCAGTGACACTTATTTTATAGCAGTCTATTGTATTTTGCAGATCTTCTGCCTGCAACCAGTTATGTAGGAAATCTATCTAAAAGTAAAATCTTGTTTTTTGTATATTCAGTTTGTGTGTAATAAATGTGAGCTGCACCTCATTCAAGTACTGATCCTATAGGTGCAATATGATGAGACCCTCACAACCGGGCAACTGAATTGCACAAAAACGTCTTTTGATCATTGGTAATGAGCCGCCGGTTTATTGCTATAATGTTGTCCCAATGGAATCCCTTAGGTGCTAGGCACATGGTTGTGTGCATCAACTGCAATCGGGATAGGACATCTAGAACAGTGATTTCCAACTGATGGGCTATAGTCTCCCTCCTTCTGGTCCTCCATCCAGCTGCAGATCCCCTAAACGCCCACAATGAACACCAGCTCCTATAGTGGCCCACAGTGCCTCCAGACCCCCTGGGAGCCATTTGCATTCACAGTGCCCTTCAAGAGCCCACAGTGCCTTCAGATCCCCTAAGAGCTTACAGTGTCCCCCTTAACTTCCCACAGTGTTACCTAGTACCCTGCAGTGCCCCTTAGCTAGCTGCAGAGCCTCCACCCCCCACCCCCCCCCCCATAGTGCCCCCAACAGGTCCCTACAGCCATCTACAGTGCCCCTGCAATCACCCAGCCTCCTGGAAATACTTCATCCCCTACAATTGCCCCCAGATCCCTCCAGAAACCTCATCCTCCCACTGTGACACCAACTCTGCTGCAGAGTTCTCTAATTTCCTCCAAAACCCCTCAGCCTCCCACTGTGACACCCAGCCCCATCCAGCACATTTTCAATACATATTCTGCATTTCCATTTTTTATTGTGTGTTTATTAACCTTTTTTCTACTATTGAGGCATGGAAGGTTTTAAAAGAATTTACAAGTCCTTGGTCTCAATACGTTTGAGATCTATTGATCTAAATAAATATATATGCACAAATGATATCTCTAGCAAACCCTTTTTTAAGTGACTGATGTTTAAATACAACCTGTATCTGTGAAATAAAAGTTATCTAAGAAACACAAGCACTGAAGGCGGTGTCAGTTTT